TTAATTCCATTGAAAATTCTGAATTGTATAAAATAATTGTATAAAACAGTTTCAGGATCAAACTAATAAAATCTTATTCAATTTATAAATTTTATTATGATGATTTATTATATATTAAGAATCGTAACAATCAACTGCTCTTATTTACAATTGTTTTTAATTCTTAAGTTGAATTTTTTTTGTTTTTTTTTCTATTCGTAAGATAAACAATGATTATTCATAAGTAAATTGTAGGTCGAATCTACTAATCATATCTATTAGGCAATAATATATATATAATAATTATATATAATAATTTATATTTTGAAATGTTGATCCTTTTAAAATCTGTCCTTTAAAATCTGAAATTCTTATATTTAAAATAAAACATTAGAAATAAGTAAATTGATTTTATGAATTAATAAATCTTTTTGAATCAGATGAAAATTACGAGATAGAAAAGTCTAATACAATAAATATTAAGGTAGTATTAAGAATCGTCAATATAATAAACTCGGTTTCTATTTAATATTTAATATTTAATATTTAAAAATATTTCGACTTACTAAAATACTAAATCTCATTTTATGAATAATCCTTCTATGTTTTATAATTTAATAATTCTAATTTCTATGTTTCAGATGGAATTCACGCAAGACTGCATCTTCAACGAGACTATGGAGACACAAAATTATAATACATACATCTCGGCACGTTGGTCCACCAAGGAGAGGACATTGTACCTCGGCATGGACAACAGCGGGAAGCCAAGGACAATAACGATCACAGGGGAAGATCGCAAATTGGGCAAGATGTTTGATTACGCCCGAGTCTTGACGCAGGTGGCATCACCTGACCGCGTCGTCGAGACTCTGCATAGACGGATGCTGGCGGGGGCTAAACATAACGTACGCCATCAGCATCACAGTCATGATCATCACCGTCAGATTGGCAGTGATGTGGCGCAACATGCAATTTGTCCCAGTTCGTCGATCCAGAAGTCGGTAGGAGATGGTAGAGATAGTTTCAGATGCCGCAAACGAAAGAAGAGAAAGAAGCGGAAACGACGTTGCAGGCCAGACGAGCAGCCTGGCCCGCAATGTCGGCTCGCGGAGGGATCCGTTACGGATTCTACGATAGACAGATACGTGACGGATATGTCATCGGAGATCATCAGCACCACGCCGGAATCCAAGAGATCCTGCGAGGGGGCGGCTAGCGAGGAAGCTTGCAGGCGACAGGCCCTCTCGGTGCCGGCGAAGAAGCGGAAGTCGCGGATACACTCCAAGTTCGGTAAGAACAAAGCATCAACGTCAAATATGAAAAAGCCAAACGTCACCGTCGCCAATAGTCAAAGTAAAAAGCCTAATTTAACGGACGGAAAGAAGAAGATGAGAAAGAGGACGAGTCCGTCGCAGACGAGCAGGGGGAGCACGGTGATGGCATCGCCGTCCCGGAAGCGGCACGAAGCTGGCACGACGTCGTTGTCCCGAGCTTCTTCGTCGCTAACGGCGCCCGTCAGAGAGGAGCACTTGGCCTCGACAGCCACGTCTTCCTCCTCGCCGTCTCCTCCTGGTGCGTTAACCACTCTCTCCATCAGAAGGCCGAGCTCGCCGTCTGACCGTAAGAAGCCACCGTCGTCCTCAAAGAACCATATTACGAAATCGATGGGCTCGCGTAGGATAGGAAAATCTTTTTCGAGTACCACAGGTTTACCGAGATCGACATCAATGACCTCGACGACGTCGAGGAGCGAGATAGCGTTTGTACCGTCAGCCACCAAAGTTCCTGAAAATATGTGCGCTTATGCAAATCCTTTGTTTCGATGCTCGCCAGTTCCTCTTTCTTCGCCTTCATCCCGGCAAGAATCCAATCAAGACTCCTCAAGTTCGCTATCAAACTCTTCGCTCGTCGACGAGGAATCGTCCTCGATCGTCACGAGCTCGCTCGTCGACAAGGAGTCGTCCTCGACCATCACGAGCTCGCTCGCGACTGTTACAGAGTCTAGCACGTTGGACATCTCCGACGAAACGATCACGTTTAGACTAGACGAAAAAAATGACGAGGACGATGGTTTCGATATGGCTGACACAATTTCGCAGACTACCACGAGAGTCGCGTTGGAGAGATTGGCAATGTGACACATCCTCCGGATGGTCAGATGGCCAAATGAAGGATGATTTGTGTGCGAATGTCATTGTAAACTTATATGTACATAGCAATCTTTACCTTACGACAACTTTACATTCATGCGACAAGTGGGTGACGTATGTTGTGATGAAGTTTTAATACTCGCAGTATGGGGATCGATATGATTGCAATTTCGGCGAGGTCAATTTTTTTAAAAACACTTTCAAAAAACTTTTATTGCTTATATCAAATATCTTAATCGATCAATTTTGACAAAATAAAAATTTAGATAAACGTAATAAATATTTCATTAAATATTGACAATTTTTTATCAGCGTAACTGAATTTTAAATATTATCAAAATTTGTTTTTAATAACAAAATTTGTTTTTAATGAACACTTTTATTTCTATAAAATATAATATGAGTAAAGTGAACATAAAAGTTGGAAAACAAAATTTGTTTACATTTTAATGTTTATATATAATTTTATTAAATTTCTTAAAATAATCATAAATTTTAATTTAAGCTTAAATTTCTTAAAAATTTGTAATCAATTTTATTAAATTTTCTAATTAATCAGAAATTGTATTCTAATATAATATTATCTTACAGGATAAACATACTTAATGAACTTATAGGAAAATAATGAGAATAATTTGATACTTAAATTCAATAAATTCAATCATCGAAAAAGAATTCACGTATTAATAAATATTAAAATATTCGGTATTCATTGCTAATATTCATTGCCATTTTAATAAAATGAAAAAAATTTATAAAAATTTTATAAAATAAAAGAAATTATTCCTTAGAGAAATTATTCCTTAGAGAAATTACTCCTTAGATAAAAATCTATAACATTAATGAAAATTGCATACACTATTTCACTGAAATCGTTTCGATATTGATCCCCGAAATATTCACGGCGAGAAATGCGGTTCGTGTCGAGAATCGATGAACATTGGTAAAAACAAAGAATCTTTGATCGTGTTTGTTCGAGCAGCCAAGAGCCGGCTAAAGCATGTCTCTTGTGCTCGTTATCGTCCGAAAGGAATAATTATCGGTGGCATCGCAATAAAAGAATATCAACCGGCATCGTAGGATAACGAGCACGAAATAATTTTAATCTTAAAGTACTTCCTGACGGCAAAACAAGTCATATCATAATTGCGTATCTCTTAGTTTGCCTCCCAGATGACCTGTAATCTTCATCGGAGTTTAGAGCAAATAGTCTTCAATTCTATTAGAAGATGGTAAGTCGACGTAATGCATGCGAATGTGCCATTTCTGAACTCTGATTATCTTTGTTACAATCGAATACTTTCTTTTCGAGATCGATATCTTTCTTCATTAATTTGACTTTAATATCACTATAAAAAAAGCATGTATACAGGATTTCAAAAAATACTCTATGCTACTGTAAAAATATTGCGTAACTAAGCTATTTATTTTAAAAGAGATGCATACTACTATTTAAAAAAATATATATTTTAGATTTAATTTATATTAAAATGATTGGCTTAATAAGGACAACGATAAAACAAAATTCTACCATATACTAGATATCTTCAATATCAACGATACATCTTTCAAAACTACAAAGTATTTCCAGCATGACAATTTAGGTACGTATTCTAATCGTACATTTAGAAATTAATGTGAATTAATGTGAACGAATTAATGTGACACTGTCTTATTTTTGGCTAATATAATTTTTAGACACAAGAGCATCGTTAAATAAATCCAGTTACAGAAAATTGAATAAGTACAAGGAGAATCAAGATCTGCATTGAATGGCACTAGATAGAGATGAAAAATTTTAATGTAAAAATTTTAAATAAAGTACACATCGTAATGTTCGCGCAGATTAGAAAATAATATGATGATAATTACATTGGCATTAAATTAAGATGTTATTCTAAATTATATATTTTATGAGAACAATTGTTGAGTGAAATATCTTGACATAAACCTCTCGTCTCGCCGTGACGTAGAAAATACTTTGTATATTATTGCCGAACTTCGTCCTAACTAGCGCGTAAGCGTAAAGAAATAATAATAGTATTTTTAGCGAGCGAGGAAGCGAGCAAGACAATAAGCGTGAAAAAAAAAGGGAAAGAAAGGTGTATGGACAATGAAATCAATTCGACTTGCGAGCATGAAATGCGATTATTCTCGAGGCCGATAAGTAGGTAAACATCAATCTAATTATTAATAAGGAGACTCTGATTAAGGAGAATCTGTTCGGTAAAAATTAGTTGTCTCGCGATAAAATTACGCTTCGCGCGACTTGATCGAAATTAAGCGAACGTTTCCGATTAGTGCACTATGTAACAACATAATTTTTTTAATTAGCATAAATTATATACAAATTATAGGATATGGAGGAGCTATTTCGTATCATAGGATATGGAGGAGATATTTCGAGGGCGATTTACAATTATCTATGTTTAAGTATCGCCAGCATAAGCAAATTCCTACAAACGATTAATCAAATTGCGAGTTTGTCTCTCGATCTCGTAATCAAATGCTATAAAACGCAATTTTTACGGGGCGACGTATGTATAATTTGGAATGTATAGAGTAAATTTTGTTCGACGTAATCTCAGTATTTATAATGGAGAGCAAAGTGGAGAGAGAAAGAATATTGGCTTTCTTATTTCACCAAGGAGATCAATTAATCAGGTTGACACAAATTACACACGCTGGTCATTCGAGTTCCATCCACTCGATCGTTATTCCTCGCGTCTCCGATTTTATTTCTGGAACTCGTTCCGTGCGCGAGCGCGCGCGACAGACTTGACGGTGCCGACGTGAAAATTACGAAGATCTTAATTGGCGTTTCCATTATATTATAATTGTAATTTGTCGAGATTTCCAGATTGCATAAAAAGTATACGATTTGCCGTTGTATGAAATATTTAATCAAAATTATCATAGGCAAATAGTCGACATTTAACATTGAACGTTACGTTCAAATAAATTTTTCAGTATTTATCAGTATTTACCAGTTTTTGTGTATGAGTGATTCTATGATACTGTGTACGAGTTTCTTCCAAGAAAAGCAATGCTCATTATTTTTTAATTCCATATTATAGCTATAATTTAATTTAAAACTCTATGAAGCATTTCTAAAATGAAAGATTGATTGATAACAAGTTAAATGATGACGCTAATCATTTGCAATTTTTGTTATAGCTCAAACGGAAACTATTTGACCGAGTGCCACTTGAAGAATTATATTCAACGAAAATACATACATACATACACATACATATACATGTCTCCTTATTTCTCGAAGTAAAAGTAAATTTCATCGATTTCATCTAGGTGTATCTGTTGGAAAAACCTCGACCTCGCTGCGATTTCTTTCTTCTTTTTTTGTAGAAGCGATTTATCAATATAATATGTAGTAGGCATATTTATTAAAGACTTATTTATTGTAAAGTTGACTCTGTGTACATAACATACATCTACGATCATTACTCATCAATCATACGCATCGATCATCTGTTCTACGTACGTTGTGTCTATAGATACACGAATCCATTGAAAATATCCCTTCTGCTTGGAAAAACGTTTCGATATCGAGATGACAATAAAGTAAAATGTAACACTTATATATTATTTGCATGCCGTATTACTTTTTGATAAACTATAACTTCGCATGGTGTGAAAGATCGCGACATAAATATTTTCACTGAATTAAATCAATAATAATTGCCTGCAATTTTATCACGGTAATATTGAATAAGCAAATTGTTTCTCATGCATGACAAAGTTCATCATGTCGTACATTTGATAATAGTTACTGGCAAAGTGAGCTTCCGCCGGAACTGAAATTGGACCGACATGTTCCTCATTTAAATTCAGCATATCGGATGTATACAAAGTGTAATATGACATGTTATACTGCAGACTATTTTTCTCGAACGTATGAAAAATAGATCTGCAGTTTCTCTCGCCTGATTTGTAATTTTTTTAGTTAATTATAATTTTTGACAAAACTCGGCATTATTATGAAAAATGTTTCACAATAATGCACGTAGCGAGAGTTTATTTTGATGAATGCTTACAAAGTCCGCGTAAAAATTACTATACGAATGTATTGTTAAACATAGAAAGATATTTCTCCATTGTCATCTCACTATCGGTTACACGCCATCACGCAATTTGATTACGCACATTTAATATTTTCAACGGATTCTGAATTGTTTCAATGAAGTAAATATACGCATACTCTGGCGAATGAGATGAAAGACGAGCGATTCGACTAAAAGATAACTCTTATGAGTTTAATGAAAAGGCAAGGTTTGTAAAATTTGGGAAAGTGCACGCATGCGCGAGTGTGATGCTTGTCAAGACGATTAATTGTTAGACTAACTAGCGACATAAATAAAAGATATGGTATGTAACTTTTGGTATCGTTCTATGCAATTACGTTTGCAAATTAACTCTAAAAACAGAACAAGGTCAGAAACATTTTCTTGGTTATTATTGCAAATATTTAATTCATGTTGCCCCAATATTACATTTTCGGATTCTTCTAGTAAATTATTAAACAAAATTTCCACTTGCCTTATTCGTCAAACATCTCAATCAATTTACAAAAATATTGAAAAAAATTGAAGGAAAGTGGCGCATAAATTAACAGATACAATATCTATCTTTTATGAAAATTTCATATTAAAGTTTTTAAAGGATTGCATTACGGAAAAATTGATTTAATAAAATATTAATAGCAAAAGTGATACGCAGACATGACCGCATCGTCGGCACAATTCTGGATTCAAAGGTCGAAGCGAAATCAGTCTAGCACTGCCATGTTTGAGATGTGTTTAATTTACATAGACTGAAATTACTAAGATTATAGTATTTTTTAATTATTAAAATGATAAAAGCGAGGGGCCGCGCCGATTGAAATTTCATCTGCGGGTATTTAATGTAAAGCAGGCATTTCAAATAAAATACGTAGGATATTCGCCCGCAGGATGATTTGTCCTTTCTTAGCTAAAACATCGCCATTTTTGATGCTACCTTGTGATATAATTCTTAAAACCCACGATCCCTTATCTCTTCTATCCCATTCCCTAGAGATACATTTCTTATCGTCGTCTACGCGCAAGAGGATAAAGAGAAAGAGAGAAGAAACGAGAGTGATAAACGATGAAAATCGAATAAATCAATCAAACGAATGAACTTTCGTTCAATTATCGAATGCATATCTCGCTCGTCACTTTTCTCTCTCAT